TATTTATTCTTGGTTTTTTTACCCATCCAGATATATTGAGAAACTAATTTCTGCCATTCAATGAACTGTCGATCACTTATTTCAATTGGCAGTGATAGGAAGAGATACAACAGGCGTGGCAAAATCACCATTTTGACCGATTCAATCCTTGAGGTTAGACTGAGAAAAGGTAAGTGATTCCATTTGGAGATGTCAGACTTAATTTTAAGGTTGAGAGGAATATAGTTGGCTTCAAATAATTTTGTAATGTCTTGGGTAAGATTAATTCCCAGATACTTCATTGATTTCTTGTTACAACTCAAGCTGTATTTAGTTACCAAATCATCTGGTGGGTTAAAATTAAAAATCATAGCCTGGGTTTTCTGGATATTTATCTTATAGCCTGATAATTGACCAAACATATCCATCGACGACATTAAAGTTGGTAGTCACTACTAGAAGACCAGGAATTTTAAGAGAGAGTGGACATCCTTTTTGGAAATAAATGACTCTCCAGACACCTCTGCAACTTTACTCTGGCAAACTGGAAAAGCTGTTTTAAGGGGCAAAATAATTTCATGCTCATCTTACAAAAAACGAAAAGATACAGCATTGCAAATCGAAATAGAAAAGAAAATTAAAGAACTTGAAAACACCCATGCAACTAATCCTACTGAAAGCATCTACTATGAACTACAGAAGTACAAAATGGAACTGAATAAACTTAAATTTCTAATTGAAAGACTAAGGGCTCTAGTTTCACAGACCAGGCGAAGCACACCTGTGCTTCGCCAACTGGGTGTGGCCAGGCGGATTTTGCAAGTTTGGCACACCGTGCGCCTGGCGCAGCTACTCCTCTTTCCCCCTTCTGTCCCTCCTACCTGCGCAAGTCGGAAAGAGGGAGGAGAGAAGGCGTGGAGTGGGTTTTACACACATCACACCAATCAAATGAGCCCCTCTCCTCGCCCTTAAATGCACCGCGTGAAGGCGTAATGAGAGTTTACTCAATTCGCCATGGCAGAAGAGAGCAGCAGCGTCAGATGGCCAAACTTCTCCCAGAAGGAAACTGATGTTTTGGTCCAGGAGGTCCAAGCTCGCAGTGTCCGAATATACGGAACTGCAGACCTCCTTGGGCTGATGATGCAAAGGTAGCCTGGGAGGAGGTCACCACAATCGTAAATCAATGTTGGGTTTCTCTCGTGCGCGCGTGCGCTCTCTCTTTCTCTCTCGCAGTCTCACTCTGTTTCTTTTCTTTTGACTTTTCTAAGATGACAGATGCTGAATATATACTCCCTATCTGATGCTGTGGCTGTTTGTGGTTGGCTGAGAGGGATGTGAACTCATTAGTTTGCAGCTGTGTTAATCAAATCAGGTTGGGTTTCCATTACACGTGCCAAACATGACAAACAGTGCCAATCCCCTTTGATCTGACATCAGATGTGACGGGACAGTCGATATAGAGATACATTTATGTGCTGATTGCAGAAAGTTGCATTGAATAGTGTTTTTTGGGGTATTTATTGCATTGTTAATGTGCCTGATATTCTGGAAACCTGCCTGTGAGATTTTGGTGACGTGTGCACACTGTCAGCCGGTCAGCCAAACTTCAGCTTACACCGCCTGCACTCTGCCTGCGCTCCGCCTGCGCTGACAGTAGACCTGGTTTCAGCTGGCAAGCTTTTAGCGCACCTTCGGTGAAGCCTTTTGGCACGAAACTGTCACTGCGCCAAGCTAGATCTGTCGACACCTCCCCCTGCTGCGCCGCCAGACCCATCTCAGCGCACCTCGGTCTGCCAAACTACCAAACTGAGCGCGCCTCGGGTTGCGCTGCTCGAAACTAGCTCTGAGCGGGGTTCGCCACCCTGCACCACCCTGCGCTGCGCCGGGAAACTAGAGCCCTAAGACTTAACACATCTCAACACAGTAATAGATAAACAGCGTATCTGGCAAATCTGGTTAAACAAAATAAGGATAGAACAATCATAACAGTAATTAAGGACTCAGCAGGGAAGCCACACCATGACCCAAAAGACATCAACAATATATTTAAGAATTATTATCAAGATTTATTCACACTCTCTCACAACCCAAGTACTCATGATATACATAAATTCTTGAGTAATATCAATCTACCCCAATTAACACCAGAACAAACTAAGTCACTCGAACAGCCATTAACCTCAGATGAATTTCACAACACACTCAGTAAAATGCAAAACAATAAGGCCCCCGGTCCCGATGGCTTCCCTGCTGAGTTCTACAAACATTTCTGGTCCACCATTTCACCTCTTTCTTTCAGAATGATTGATGAATTCCGCAAAAATAAAAGAATATCTCCTACCATGAATACAGCCTTAATCACCTTACTTTTAAAACTTGATAAAGACCCCACTCATCTAGCTAGTTATTGTCCTCTCTCTCTAATCAACACAGACACAAAAATCATAAGCAAGGCACCAGAGATGGGGACTCGAGTTTGCGACTCGGACTCGAGTCGCACTTAAGTCTCACACACAGAGACTTCAGACTTGACTTGAACTTGTGCTCAAAATACTTCAGACTTGACTCGGATTCGTGTTTTGGGACTCGTGAACAATCATTATATTTTCTATTTTTGGCGTATTAACATTAAGGAAACTTTGAAACGTCTGACGAGTTTCCTTCCATAGTACTATAGTAACCATAGTAACCATATTACGCGGGTGCGCGCCTCACGCACGAGTACCTCAGATGACGGTAACACTATGGCGACCGGCACACCTGCAGCTGCTGCTGTACCCTTTGTAATTACATTTGGTTATAAGAACTTCAAACAAGACGGCACCAACAAAAGAAGCGCAGACTGCAAAGTCTGCAGTATCAAAATTAAGGAT